CACTGGAGGAAAATGTCACTTAGCTGATCACAAAAGTTCCTAGAGCTTATTAGATGTAAATGGTGTGTGTGTGTGTGTGTGTGTGTGTGTGTGTGTGTGTGTGTGTGTTTCCAGGAGAGGGAAGAATTGACATCAGCAATGTGGAGGACAAAAATAATACTCATCACCGCTTTTTTAAAAGTGAAGTTTAAAACTTTAGCTGATGCATTTACACATTAGAGGCCTCTTGCACACTCTCCATAGTATATTGAATTTTGGGAAATACTGAGAACTGGAATTCTCATATTTAGTGACTGGCTTTGTCACCCTTGACTATTGAAGGCAGTAGATTACCAAAAACTTTGCTTCTGAGCTTCCATGGCTGCTGTAAGGGCTGTGCTTTTATTGAATCACGGTTTCCCAAATGGCAACGCAAGGACATCTGCTAGCAAGACCCATGCTCACACCTGGGTCACTCTGAACAGTAGCACCGGTGCAGGTGGCCCGGTGTGCCTCTGTCCGCATGTTGCAGAGCGGTTGGGTCCCGTTGGAAAGCACTCCCCTGGCAGTAGTTAACTACAGACCTAAGCGTAACTCTTGATTTCCTGTGTGCTAGTAGCTTCGATAAGCACTTTAATGCATCCTTCCTTATAACCTGCACAGCTGCCCAGGGCGCTCCCTGGAGGTCACTCTGAGCTCAGTAAGCAGAATGGCCCTTTCTGTTTGCCCTAATCAAGCATTGCTCTCAATGTGTGCCAACACTTGGGAGTGAACTTTTTTTTTCCCTGATGCTATCGAGGAAAAGCTGGTATTTATATCACTAAATCTACATTGGAAGCATGCAGGTGCTTAAATAACAAGTATGTGGAGCCCAGGCCTCCAGGAGTTCTTGCAGGGCTGGCATGAGTCATGGTAACATCCTGTGAGGGAGACCAGAAACTCAAAGGAAATGGACCCATCAGAAGTCTGGCTCCTTTCCACTGGTGTTCTAGGTTCCCCATACACACTAGAGCATCTCAGGGAGCGCCTGGTGATGGCCCTGGGTATTTCTGTGTGTGGCTGGTTTCGCAGCCTCCTGGGGACACTCGGTGATTCCGTGGGACGGGCGGCTTTAACTGACGATGCCACTGTGAGAACTGTAGAGACTGTCTCAAGAATATAGTGACCTGTTGAGTCAGCCCCCGAAGTTTTAGCTTTAACATCCTCTGAGAGCATGCCAAAGCCACGAGGAGCCCGGCGTGTGCCTCTTGGGAGCAAGGCCTGCTGGAGATGGGCAGGGACTCGGTCACTGTCCAGCCTGCCCCTGCCTGGACTCCATGTTGCTCCCCCACAGAATGGCATGTAGCAGCTAACCCTGGGGCCAGTTGCCTTTACTCTATTTTCTATGATGAATCCTTGTGGAGAAACTGTGATAAACCCATTGATCCTGATATTTTTATTGTTGGAGTCCTGTGGCTTCTCTGAATACTTTCTATTGGATGGTACTGTGTAGAATTCACACACACTAGGGATATGTGAATAAAGCTAAAAATACATAGTATAATATAGGATAGCAAAAATCTTTTGTGAACAATTTATATAGAAGAGTAAGTTGTTTTTTAAGTGTTAGGCCATTTCTTTTAGGAACTTAAAATGTTATAAGAGTTTTTTAAGCATTCAATATTTTTAATTATAAGAGACATTTGTTACTAGAGCTAATTATTTCAGGTGTTCTAATTGGAATATTGATTTTCTTACCTCATATACCTCTAGAATGCCACATGTTCTGTTGGGGATAAAATTGCACAATAAATGTCAGGTTATCTGTCAGATGTTTTAACTTGCTTTTTTTTTTTTCTTTTTGGCTGTGTGTGCGTAGTATGTTTGCATGTGTGTAGACATCCTCGTGTGTGAGCGTGTGTGAACATTGTATGCATCTCAAGAATCCTCCTCTGGGTCTCTATCATATTATTTTTGAGGCAGGGTTTCACAGTCAATCCCAGAGCACATTGATGTGGCCTGCCTGCTGGCCGTTGCTGTAGGAATCCCCTACCTCTGCCTTCCAGACAAGCCACCACACACACAGCATTTGTGTTGAAGTCTGGGGATCTAAACTCAGATCCTTCTGCTTGCACGGCAATGTTTTGGCCACTGAGCCATCCCCCCCCCTCCCTGCCCCACCCCACCCCCACCACCCTGGCCCCTGGCTTGCTGTTTGCCTCTTGACAGTTCATTTTGTTCTGTTCTAAATGTTCCTGGTTGCCTGTTGAGAGTCCTTCCCCCTGAAGCTAAGGCTCTCCTGCTTGTCTCTAAATGCAAGGAATGTCCTGTGCTGAACACCCAGATAAAAGCCAGCAGGATGGCTTGGCGGGTAAAGGTGACTGATGCCAAGCCTAAAAAACATCCAGTTTGATCCTCTAGCCCTGAAGCCCATGAAGGAGGGAGAGAGCTAACTCCCATATGGTCTCTATCCTCTGGCCTCCATGCATACTGTAGCATGTGCATATCCACACACATTAAATAAATAAACAAACAAATGTCATTTTAAAAAGTCCTCTGGTCCGTTATGCTAGGGAAGTAACCAGAAATTCATCTGACCTACTAAGTGGGAGGGCAGGGAGGAAGTGACGTGTGATTTGAAAGAATACATGCTATCAGGAAGCCCGTAGAGCTGAAACTCACAACTCTGAATCCGCAGATATTGCCTGTGCGTGGTATTTGAACAGTGCGCGGAGCACACAAGCAAATTGGCTGTGGCTAGACAGGGACATGGTGGTGGCTTCCCCCTTAGTTACTGCGGAAAGGATGCCTGACCACCATTACAGAAATGCAAGATTGGACAAATGTTATTTCATGAGCCAGATGACGTCAAAAGCTAAAGTTTCATTTTATTTTTGCCCTTAAGGTTCAAAATTTTAGCCAATAATTTTGTCTGAAAAACAATGCTTCAGTCGAAGTAATTTTGGTTAGAATTAGAACATAGGTCAAAATGGGGAGAAAGGTGCTCTCTAGCACTGAAAGGATGGAAGATAACGGCACATCTGTGGATAAACCTGATTAAAAGAAAACAGAGCAGGTTACAGGTTTTAAAATCCAGTACAAATACGCGTTACTTCTATGCACAAGCAATAGGCAGTCTAAGAAGAAAATTAAGCAGTTCCCCTTACAGTAGCAGCAGAATAGTATACTTGAAACTTAAACAAAATAAATTCTGAACACTCCAGGTGGTGGTGGCTCAAGCCTTTAATCCCAGCACTGGAGGCAGAGGCAGGTAGATTTCTGTGAGTTCGAGGCCAGCCTGGTCTACAAAGCGAGATCCAGGACAGGCACCAAAACTACACAGAGAAACCCTGTCTCGAAAAACAACAACAACAAATATAGACACTGCGAACTATAAAACAGGAAACTTTTAAGACAAAGGTTCAATAAAGGAGTGGACTGTTAGGATGCAGAGATCCCAGCTCTGGTCGGCAAGTAGCAGGCAGCTGCCGCCAGGCTAACTGTCAAGGGGTCCTAGGACTCATGGGAACAGAAAGCCCCCCCCCCATACCCAACAGGATGAGGACTACATTTATGGTAACTGTCAATTAACATGTTGAAATGGTTCCTTGGAGGAAGAAGAGCCTTAAGCAAGTGACAGGGACAAACAGGGTAGCCACCTCCGGCAGAGATGAATTGGGATCCCAGTATCTAACTCCCTGCAAGGGTATGCCCAGAACTTAGTTCCCTTGGTGTTTCTAGTTGATAGTAACCATCACAGAACCCAAGAAAATCAAATGGATTCACAGGTGTTCATAGTGTTACGTATGCTGTGGTTAAAAGTAGAAATAATACAAAGGCCCAAGTGACGCGGTAAATGTGTGTGTCTCCGTACATTGACTGTTAGTTAAAGGCTGAGCGCTGATGGCACCGTACTGCATGGATAAACCTTCAAAATACAGTAAGTGAGCAAAGTCAGACACAGAAGACCAGTTATTACACAATGACACTTCCGTGAAGTGCCCAGAATAGTCAAAATTCCGGACAGGCACAGCTTAGTGCTGCTCAGGACACCATTGGCCCAATGAAGGAACCCAATATGATACAGTCCCTTTGAAATTGGTTACACACTCATGCAGCGTATTTGTCCAGAGCCCGACATGCCTCAGGATAACTTGGCAAACTGGTGTAAGCCAATGGCTGGGTAACCGTTAAGAATGATGAGGATCTACTAATGATGAGAAAGCCCCCCTGTTCCGCTGGTAACTTGTTTCCAAAGGTGAAATTGTCCTGAGCAGGGGAAAGGAGTCATAAAAGTCTGTGACTGTCGGAGACAAGCTAAGTTTGACCAACATGGCCACAGCCCGGCCACTTACGTCCTCACTTCCTGTATGGTGTGGTGTGCTACCAAATGCTGGCTGGGTCACTTTCTCCTCACCTTTCTCTCTCCACTTCAACATCTGTGGGTCAGACCTCGCCTAGCCTGTCTTAGTGAGACCACGCCTGGTGTTCAGCCGGCCGCCGCAGAGAACATTTGAATCCAGGACTTTAGTAGAGGGTGAGCGCGGGGTGGCCTGAAACTCCTCACAACTCGCTGGCCAGACTGGGAGGGCCCTGGCAGCTGGAAGGGGCGAGGCTGGCGGTGGGGCTGAAATTGTAGAGGGCTCCCTGCTGGGAAATCCGATCTCCATGCCATCTGAGGAGCACAGTGAGGAAGGAGCCAGATTGGGGATCAACTTACAACCACCCTTTCCTTCCCATCTCTAATTGAACACACTGGAAACCTCACGGTGTGAACAGCCTGCTGTATCCAGCCAGCGCCCCACCCTCCCTGTGCCCGCCCCCCAACACAGTGAGGCAGAGGAAAAAGAAGACACAGACAAGAGCCGAGGCAGGTGACTCAAAGGTTTCTGCACCTGAGAGTCGCTTGGCCTTTAGTCATTGGAATGGTTGACTTTTCTGGATCATTGGGTTAAGGATTCTATGGTCTTCCTTCCTTCAGACTTCCTAATTCATGTCCTGGTCCTGTTGTGTGGATGAGGAAGCTGGTGCT